CAGTTCTGGAGAACCAGTAGCGGAAATTTTGAGTAGTTCAGAGAACTGGCAAATACCACCACTGACTGGAGATTTTACAGTATCTTTTTCCTGCCACGCCCACCAAGCCACACCCAACGAACCAGTAGTAAAAAAAATTTAATCCCACCACTATAACACACCATAGCAATCAAAACTCCAAGGCAGTTGAATTAGTCAAAGAATATATTTGTTCGATATATCATATTGGCACGACCTGGTGACAACCAACTCTAAATATTCTCATGGTTTTCACCTAATTAAAAGTAAGAGTTCTTCCACTTTCTCCCAACAATCATTCCCATGGTCCAATCAGGATACAGTCCAGTTGCTAGATGACTCCAGTTCCCTCCTTCTGGGCACCTGGTGGGAATGTCTTTGGTTCTCAAGAGAAAGTATTTTATTGTGGCTACCGCACCCCAGCTATCTCTGCTCCCCTCTTCCTTTCCCACAGCTCCAGTTGTGGTAGCACTGAAGTCCCAAAATGGCCACAGCCAGGTCAGCTTCAGGGTTGACATTTTTTTGAGAGGGGCAACTATTCAAATTGGATAAATAAAATAAATATGGATGAAAGTTCACCCAGGACATTTTCCAAATTTCAACCAGTGGGGTCTTTTCTCCTGTGATTCATAAACTAACTCATTTAAGTTGTGATAAACAGATTTTTTTTTACTTCTGCTTTGGAAACATGCTGTCTGTCTGTCTCAGGTCAAGCTAGCAATAACATCTTTGCAATATTTTATTTGTTTAAAAAAGCAACATCTGTCAACAAAATAAATTCCTTGAGTCCAGCTAGATATTATAACGATGGACATCCCAGGATGGCAAACCAAACAATAGTTCTTAGGGAAGATTCTTTTATGCTTTCTCTAGAGTCCAATGTTCATATAGTCTAAACACATAGCTGGTTTCTTTTGGGCTGCCAAAGAGCACCTTTTTAGTGTAACCCAAAGAGGATTTGCAATCTTGACAAGTAGAGAGACTTATGTGGTTAGCACAATCCATTTACGGGAAGGCGTTTTTGCTCTACGCCAGTAGAATAATGTATCCCATATTAACTCATCTCTTTCATGTTTTTCATTAATGCACATCACATCCACTAATGGAGCTGGGATGAAAACATAAAACATATCTTCAGTATGCCTGGGTTCCCACATCACGCTAAGTCATAAATGAAAGCTGAGCAGCCAAGATCTGGGCTTGCACAGTCTAAGCAAAACAAACCTCATTCTAACTTACTGTGACTCTATCCTGACTAGCAGTGGTTTATCAGTATCTCAGAAGATTTCTACTAGGAGATGGTGGGCATTGAATCTTGCAATTGTCCACATGCAAATAATCTCTATAAAGCCTTAGTAAGACCACATCTAGAATACTGCATCCAGTTTTGGTCACCAAACTATAAAAAAAAGAAAGAGTGCAGAGAAGAGCAACCAAGATGATTAGGGGACTGGAGGCTAAAACATACAATGAACGGTTGCAGGAACTGGGCCTGGCCAGTCTAGGGAAGAGAAGGACCAGGGGAGACAGGAGAGCAGTCTTCCAATATTTGGGGGGCTGCCCTAGAGAGGAGGAAGGGGTCAAGCTTTTTTCTATAGCAACTGTAGGCCAGACAAGGAATAATGGATGGAAACTGAACAAGGAAAGATTCAACCTGGAAATAAGGAGACATTTTCTGACAATCAACCAATGGAGCAGAAGTTGCCTTCAGAAGTTGTGGGAGCTTCATCACTGGAGGCTTTCAAGAAGAGACTAGACTGCCATCTGTCAGAAATGGTGTAGGGTCTCCTGCTTGGGTGGAGGATTGGACTAGATGACCTACAAGGTCCTTTCCAACTCTGTTAATCTGTTAAATCTGTTAAATCTCAGTCACTAAGCCATAAATGTAACCCAATTTATGGCACTGTATTGATCCTGTTAATGGGAACTATGTTTAAGAGGAAGAACTATGAGTGTAATCATTCTGCATAAACCTACTCTTGACTTATTCATTTATTTATGGCCTGACTTTTCTTCAAGCACTTAAAATGGTAAATATAGTATACTTCTCTTAGTTTAAGTCCATAGCAACAACCCATAAAGCAGATGGTTAAATCTAACACCGACTTTGCTCTAGATCTATTTATATGGATCAGTGATTCCTTATTAATGGGACGGTAATGGCCTTGAAAGTTCTTGGTAAACTACCATCCATGGCTCGTCTAGTGAAGAGGAGGACCAGGGGAAATATGATAGCAATGTTCCAATATTTGAGGAGCTGCCACAGAGAGGAGGGGGTCAAAAGCTATTCTCTAAAAGCACCCGAAGGCCAGACAAGGAATAATGGATGGAAACTGAACAAGGAGAGATTTAACCTGGAAATAAGGAGAAACTTTCTAACAGCAAGAACAATTAACCAATGGAGCAGTTTGCCCTTTGAAGTTGTAGGAGCACCATCACTTGAGACTTTCAAGAAGAGATTAAAGTAGCCCTTCTATCTTCTTCCTTTTGCATTAAGCAAACCTAACTCTTCTTTATGTTGGTGCATCAATGGGCCACCAAATTGGGGATATGTGGAGAAAAACAGAATGCTGATGATAAATAAACTCATTAGTTCTCAGTCCAGCAAGAAAATGTCTTTATCCTTACCTTCAGATGTTCAGAAATATTTTGGATGGAAGTCCTTTCATATGCAGGTGGTCCTCAACATATAACGTATAACCCAAAATTTTTATTACTAAGCGAGAAAGTTGCTAAGTGTGTTTTGTCCCATTTTGCAATCTTTGTTAAGTGAATCACTGCAGTTATTAGTATTATGGTTGTTTAGTGCATCTGGCTTCTCCACTAACTTTGCTTGTCAGAAGGTCACAAAAGGGGATCCCATGAGCCCGGGATACTGCAACCATCATAAATATGAGTCAGTTGCTAAGTGTATGGATGTTGATCACGTGACCCTGAGGGTGCTGCATTGTTGCAATGTCATAAGTATGAAAAACAGTCATAAATCAGTGAAGTGGGTGTGTGGGGTCTCTAACAATGCTTCGAGCTCTAAGCACATAGTGCTTATAAGCAATATCCTGAATAAAGGGAAGCAAACTTCCTATAATCTTCTCGGTTGTCCTTACCACACACTGTAGGGACTTTCTATCTGAGACGCTGCTGCCACCAAACCAGACTGTGATGCGGTTTGTTAAAACACTCTCAATTGTGTAAAAAATGGCCAGGACAGAAGGAGAAAGTTGTGGTCTCATCTGACACAGGAAAAGCAGGCGCTGGTTTACACGCCCCAGTCAAAAGCTCTTGTGTTAGTATTTTCTCATAAATTTGTAATCCTTTTACACAATTTGGGTTAAGGTCCCGCAGAATCCCTGTCATCATTTCCTGGATGATGTCTGGAGCCGCCTTTATATTTTTCAGTACATTGGCCACCTAAGAAATATTGATGTCCCTGAACCACCCTCGTGTGTGTGTGTGGGGGGGGAGAGACAGGGAAGGCAAAATTCCCTGCCAGAAATAGCTCTTCCATAAGTAGAAGTGACGGTGTGGTTCCTGGCAGGGGAGTTATCTTGTGACCGCAGAGCTTGGACAATGAAAAGCAGATCATCTCAGGCCATGTACTTGCTTAAGCTCATGATGGAAAACATCTGTTCAGTGAAATATTTGAGAATTCCCATAGGGCAGCAGGAACACACACCTACTGAAGCCATGACCCGAGCCCTCCAACCGCTCTTCTGTGCTTAAGCATTCTCTCTTTCTCTCTCTTTCTCTCCTTTCCCAAAAGTTTTGCTTTCAGCCCCATTTGACAGCGTGAAACCCAACGAATCTCAGAAGGAATGAAACCAGCTGCCTCGGGGTTGGAATCACGGGGTGCCCCTGGGTTGATTCCATGACAGTTCGTAGCCAATGCTAGGGAAAGCCAGGGGAAGGAAGCAAGGGCTGATATCTTCCCTCTGAGGGACCCTACCGAGGACAATGGGGCTCTGATCCTGGGAAAGGACGGGCAGACATGTGGGACTCTTAGCCTTCAGCACGTGACCCACTGACTTCCACAATTAGAGATTCCAGGGACATGCTGCATGATTGGGAATAGGAAAAAGCTCAGCATCTCCCTCCCTCTCTCTCTTTCTCCTCTCCTCTCTCTCTCCATCTCTCCCTCTTTATCTCTCTCCCTCCCCCCCTCTCTCTTGCCAGCTGCCAAACGCTAGCATGCTTTCTTTGAATCTGTTCATGACATTCAGCAGTTTTTTTTCTTTGCTGCTGAACTGAGAGACAATCTGCTATCAAGTTCCAGTTAGCAATTTCATTCTATTTATATTCTCTCTCTCTCCCCCCCCCAACCCCGTCTTCCACCTCCCTCCTACCTTCCTTCTCAACCCAGGATCTAAGCAAATAATAATAACAACCATAATATTTGTGGGTTGGTGGTTGTTGTTGGTTTTTTTTTTTTTTTTAAAGAAAAAGCCAGATCTTCAGGCTTGACATAGAAAAGGGGAAGAGAGTCTCGTTGGCAGGAGGGTGCCCTGTAATTTCATATTTGTGCCAGCCTTAATAAGTAGATCATTGGGTGTAGAGGGACTGCCCTTTTTTTTTTTTTTGGTGGGGGGGGGGGGGAACGTAAGTAAGTAGAGACATACTGCACCATTTCCTGATTCACTGAGCTCCAGAGGGCTGCTGGCTGTGTGCGGCAGGGGAGGTGCTAGAACTGATCAGGCAGAATAATTTTATACATTACTGAATCAGTGCAGGAAGAACCTGGAGGGACAAAGCATCAACTCATCCTCGGACTGCATTGTGAAATCCTCACGCGGTCTTCTCCAGCCATGCTCTGAGACATTTGGGCATTTCTTTCACCTCTCACCCACCCACTCATTCATTCACCCACCCACCCACCATTTCTCTCTCTCTTTTTTCTTTCTTTCTTGTTCCCCGCTTCTCTCTTCTACCCCCCACCCCACCCCCAACCATCAGTTTCCCCCTCCTCCTGGTGTGAATGACACTGTCTGATGATGGCCCTTGTTATGGAACCTATTAGCAAGTGGACGCCGAAGCAAGTAGTGGACTGGATGAAAGGTAAGGCTCTTTTCTCTCATGCAACCTTGCTTACCGGCTCCCTCTCCCTGGCTAACCTGGGCAGTTGGTCCAGCAAACGTTGTTCTGCCCTTCCTCCCCATCTCTGGGTCCTTTTGGGTGTGTGTCGATTGCATGCAGAGTTTCTCTGCTTTTGGGAGAAGGGGTGGGGGGGAGGGAGACGGGCTCGTACGCTGTCTCACACAAGTGAGCTTGGCCGGGAGACTCGGCTAAATGAAAAGGCTCTTCAACCTGGAAGTGACTCTTGACGGGGAACTAATGGAAGCGTGGACATGGAACTGTTGGAGGTGCCGGGGAGCTTTGAGAATGCAACTTCCCCCCCTCTCTCCCCTTTAGCCATTGCTTGGTGTAATGAGCCGCTGTGCGGGTGGTCCTTCTCTTTCCCTCTCCGGAGGTGTCTTTCTATTTTCAATGTCCTGATTAGCCTTTTGCTATCATCGCAAACAGGTGACACAATGCAGCTAGTCTTAAAAGGCTGCAGCTGCTGTATCTACTTTGGGAGGATATATATATATATATATATATATATTTATTTTAATGTGATGGAAGGATGGGCACCCTCGTTTCCTAAACCCTTGGCACGTTGCTGGTAGCCTGGCTTTTCTGCCCAACCGCCCTGTAGCTTCACTCTTGGAGACCAAACCTCCAAGGTGACGAGCGATCAGCACCATGGACAGTTCAGCCAGAACGATATACGAGGAGCATGATGGAGACAGGAGAGAGTGCAAGCGTGCTAAGAGGCAACTCTTCGGGGCAACTTGTCCGTAGGGTTGATGGAGTCTTCCCCCATCCACCCCCCCATTGATCCCAGACATTGTGTGCCGTTGCTGACAGACAGTGTGAGGTGGCATGGTTTCCCTCCTCCCCGCTTCCCTTAGCTGCTCTTCCAACAGGTGTAATTTTGACCAAGAGGCAGGGGGAGTTGCTTGTTGCTGATCACGTAGTTGGCATCTCTTTCTCCATGTCCAAGCAAAGAGATGGGAGAAAGGAACACTTTTGTATAGTTAAAAGGTCCCTGTTCTAAACATGCAACTCCCTGCATTATTATTATTTTTTTCCACCTGACTTTTTCCTTTAATGTGCTCGCCACGGTAAATTATACATCTCGATGGATTGTGTGAAATTGCACACAGCATGAGTTTGGGGTGTGCCATGCTTATTAGTCCATGTGGCATATACTTTCATTTTCTAGGCTATTATATAAAAGGCCTTTTTTTTTTAAAGTGTCATTTGATTAAATATAAACCTGGAGGCTGGTTTTCTGTTTGCATGCAAAATGCACAAGAAGAAAAGACGGTGCAGTCACCTTCTATTAAGAGAAAGATGGAAAGTCTCATTTGAATTGAGATCAAGTGCTGGTGACTTCATGGCCAGGGCTGCATTAATTTGAGGAGAGCAGTAAGGAAGTGATTTGCTTTCAGGGATTATCATCATCATCATCATCATCATTATTATTATTATTATTATTATTATTATTATTATTATTATTATTAT